CCCCGGGCCGAGCGGGGACGGCGCCGGGTGCGGACCCTGCCCCGGGCCCCGACCCTGCCCCGGGCCCCGGCCCCCGCACAACCCAGCCGTGCCCGGCCGGACGGTCCGAAATAGAAGGCGTTGCTCCGGGCAAAGTCTCGGTAAACATTTATTTATTTTAAGCCTTGTCACAATACCATAGTTGATTTGTGAAACTGGTCTACAAATATTGAACTACGTCGTACATGGACTGGGTGGTCGGATAAGTAATAAATAAAGGCATGTGTAGCTCTGTAAAAAATAAGTCTGATATATTTGTAACTACTTAACAATATCATCAGTAGAATCTAACATTTCCCTATGGATCCTATGTCAAAAGTATACATACGTCGTTTCTTCAGACCAAATTACTTTTTACATAAGCACAGTTGTACAAACTTAAACACTACAATCCCGAAATCCGATGTACAAAACAGGCTGCGAAATCACCCACGTCGGTGCCCGTAACGCGTGCTACCACAGCGAACAGAACTTGTGATGATAAGGAGAAGATCAGTTTTTAAATGTGCTGTCATCACAGTTCGATGGAATCATCCAAAAGGTTAAAATACATGCGGGTACGATAAAACCTTTTATTTTTCCGACCCAGACGAAGAGAACTTATGGTCATTTACATCATTAGCTGCCAAATACAGATCAGTAGGTGAGGCAAATCACACTTAAACACTTCTACGCCACCGAAGAGCTAAGATTGATACTGGTCTATTTTCCACACGAACTACGCAACAAGCCTTTAAAAGCACATCACGACTGAAGGACGCACTAAGCACAGCACTGAGTTACACCAGATTGCGTACGCGGTACTCTGACACCCAAAACCACTTTGAGAAGCGCTACATTCCCGATACGACAGGCCGGCTATCTATAGGCGAGGCGCGTACTTCCGAAGAAATCGCTACCCAAGTCACTTTTGCAAAAATGTGAACGTCTTGAAAATACTACAGTAGGTTCAGACACTGGGTCTTAAGGTCCGAAGTTTAAAACACTTGAGCGCCTACCGGAATTTGTGACAGCGGGCAGCCTGAAGCCCGGCCCGAGCGGGGACGTCAGCCGCTCCGCAGGGTGACGCTTCAGGCGGCTGCCGCACCCGGGGAGGCCCACGCGGAGGGACCCGTCGGGAGCAGCAGGCGC